TTTTAAAGCCAGCTTTAAATTAAGCTATTTCCTAATGCTTTTTCATATAGGACTCCCTGCAGTCATTCTATTTTCATATTCTCAAATGTCTATATTTTCTTTCCCTATTTCCCAAGATTATCTCTTGGTAGTGCCAAGTAGTGATTTGCTCCATATTCAAAATCTCTCATTACTCTTGTATCCTTCACTAAGGCTCACAAGTTTTCATCACAAACAATAAGATCAGTCACTTTTTTTTTCTTCCATGCCTTTTCAGGTGTATAAATGGATGTGCTTATGATTAAAATAGGTATTTGAAATTAACAGAAGATCTTTTTCTAAGCAAGGTTTCTCAATGGCCTAATCACATTTTTCCGCATTTTCTCAGCATGTTGCTATTCATCCATTCACATCAGTTAACAGCATATTAGACTGCCATTAATTCTGAATGTTGCATAACCTTTCCCAAATCATATTTTTAATTCTTCAATTATCAGCATTCACTGTAGCACAATAGGCAGCATTGCCAATGTATGGGATTCTTGCTTTCATTCATACACATAACAACCTAGATGGCACAACTTCCTACTTTTTGACATACAATTAAGGCCATTCATTTAATTAACCATTCACTCAATTAAACCTATTAAATTAAACATATATCTTTGGATTCCAAAGACACTGTGCACATACTCATTAACTCTGTTCTACGAGATGCAATCACCTTCATTCAGATGTATTAACTCCTTTTCCTTTCCCTGAAATGCAGAGACACAAACTTTCTTTCTTTACTTTCACTTATTAATTCATGCTGTTTATCATTAACTCTTTTTGTATTCCACCTCACTGTCTTCCATAAGGATGTTATAGTTGTAGGTAGAATTATCACATTTTTATGTAATACATTTTAATAAGATAAAGTGTAGGCTATGTTGCTAGTCGTAATCATGCCCACCCCATACTTAGCATATCTTGTTCATTATTAAGAGTAATGCTTGTTAGTTTCGGCACATTTTTGCCAATATGCCACACAGATTTGATCTTAATCCAAGAACAAAGAATTGGGATTTAATGGCTTCAAAATGTGGGTGCTCCTTTTCTCTAAGAAAATTCTTAAAGATTATAAATAGGAAATAAATGTTTTCCTAATTGAGCAGATTAAGATGTTCAAGTATGTCCATAAATTTACCTTCAAATTTAGATACTCTTTCAGCTATTTTTTCATAAATATTTTCACATTTATGTACACTTTTCGAGTATTTCCTGAACGTAGAAAATGTGTGAAGCCACAATATATGCATTATTATATTACCTAGCTACAATGCAAATATTTAGATTCTTGTCAATCTATACAATGCAAAGTTTTTTGTTGTTTTGTACTCTGACTTATATAGCTTTTCAGTCAACATTTATTATAATTATACTGTGAATCCCTCTCTCTATTCCAAATGCTCTCCTTTGGATAGTATTAGGAAGTTCCTCTGTAGCAGCCTGAATGAGGAATTTTGGCCTAAAATCCTAGTTAAGATAATCCTTTTAGATGAAAATCTGGCTCAGGTGAATTTTGACAGAAAGTTAACACATGAGGAAACTTTTCTTTCAATTAAAAAAGAGTTTTGTATCATGTTGATAATGCACAGGATTCTCCTCAGTAAACACATTTCAATCTTGTGCCAAATATGCACAGAGGAATCCAAATAATTTAATGAACATGATAGTCATCAATAAGAAGCGTTGGCTGATATTAGTAACAGAATATGCAGAATTCTCCTCAGTGAGATCCCTGTCTTCTAATATGGTTTCAATTCTTCATCAGAGAGGATCTTAGGACTGTAATTCCAGTGTACCTCCCAAGAGATTCTGTTCTGGGCTTGTATTCCCTGACAGATCTTACAAATCCTGTAAGTAACGTAAGTAATTCATAAAGGCTGCAGATAAACAAACACAGTTGGGGAAAATGATAAATACATTCAATGCAAAGCAAATGAGTTGTACTTGCTATTCAGTTGCTTGCTTTCCTCTGATCTTTTTACAACTGTTACAAAGCCAAGACTCATCAAGTTACCTTATCACCAATATAAACCAGGGTTATTTTTTTTTGAATAATTAGCAATAGCAATAGCAGTTAGACTTATATACCACTTCATAGGGCTTTCAGCCCTCTCTAAGCGGTTTACAGAGTCAGCATATCGTCCCCAACACTCTGGGTGCTCATTTTACCAACCTCGGAAGGATGGAAGGCTGAGTCAACCTTGAGCCTGTTGGGATTTGAACTGCTGGCATGGACAGAGGGAAGGAAGGAAAGGAAGGGAAGGGAAGGGAAGGGAAGGGAA